CAAGGTCGGTAAAATGAGGACCCAGATTGTTGGCAGCAATATGCTGAATCTGTAAAGCACTGTGAAGTGGTATATAAATCTAAGTGCTATTGCTAATGCTGTTAGATAAGACTAAAGCCAATATATTTTTAAATATCAGACTTTTGTGCCCTTTTTGAATTCCTATCCATGAAGGAATAAAGATAGAGGTGGGCCTGAAAAATCCCTACTCAGAAAAATTCCCACCTCAGAAACCAGGTGGCTTGGAACAATAGTTTTTCCTTAGCTTAACTTCTAACCATGGATTGTTGTGAACCTACAACTGAGAATGAAAGTCACTTTAGCTCCTGGGGGATAGGTCAGATTAATATCTGTAGTTTTAACCTGATGCCAAATGAGAATGGTCTGAAGTATGCTCTGATCTAGCGCAAATTAATTGCAGCATACTCAGGGAAGTATCTTGGTGCTTATATGTTTTTAGGTGGGAATTTTTTATCATTAGAGAAAAATTTCCACATGCGCACACACACACACACACACACACATGTTAACATCAATGTATGTGTGTATATGTGTACAAAAATATCTTTAAACACTTAAGCTACATCTGTGCAACATTAGTCCTTTCCTCAGAACTATCATATTATTGATGTTGACAAATGCCTTTTATTTATGAGTAAAAGACTGAAGTCTTGTTTTATTATTCGTATTTATTATTTGTATTTCTATGCCGCCCACTCTCCGAGGATCTGGGCAGCTTACACCAAAGTCAGTATACTAAATAGCATATTGCCCCCAACAATCTGGGTCCTCATTTTACCCACCTCGGAAGTATGGAAGGCTGAGTCAACCTTGAGCCGGTGAGATTTGATCCGCTGATCTGCTGAACTAGCAGTCAGCTGAAGTAGCTGCAGTACTGCACTCTAACCACTGCGCCACCTTGGCTCTTTGACTTAATCTCTTTGACTTAATCTCAGCTGCTGGTGACTTCATGACTACATCTGTGCATTATTCTTGTCAGGAATAAATACTGAATTGGGTAATCATTATCTTCCATGCTATTTTTTGACATTTCAATTTTAGCCTGCTGCTCTAGTCTTTCCTAGTGGTCTCCTATCAAGGGTCTAAAAAGGCCCAATCATGTTTAGCTTTTGGGTTCAAGCAAGATAGGCAGGTGCTGCCACCTACTGAAGTCAGGAATAGAATATACTATATGTAACTGAATTTTCTATCAGGGACATTATGCTTCTTATTCTTCAACTGTCAGACTGCGTGAATAACAGTTGTTTCAATATTGGTTGAAATTTCTTCTGATGTGCTAATTCCAAAATATGTATGTTGTCTTTTTCCTGTTCCGTCTTTAGAAGAATGTATGAATACCGTCCTTAAAAGTCCGTTGTTTTGATGGTGCTTTTTTGCAGTTATGTCAGATTGTCAAACACTGTGATCATACTGGTATTCTAATGAGAGTTGCTTTCATACTGGGCTGAGCAGATGTCTGTTATTCTACAGAGCAGCGTTGTATCTACTTTCTTAGATCCTTCATACCTTTAAAAAAATGTACTGAATTTCAAGTTAAAAATTTTCTGTCTCATTCCCAAAGCCATGGGGTAAATTCAGTATTTTATTCAAAATAAATATATTAAGCTTCACTCAGCGATGAAGCTTAAAACATCATTCTTTCTGTATGTAGGGGAGAATGGTAATCCCATTATAGAATTAGATGAAATAGTCTTCCTAACCTAAATGTGTCAGAATTGTAGACTGTTCTGCAATTGGTTTTTAAAGGAATTAAAGCTGAGGTGGGGGAAGATAACACTGACCGATTCATACTTTATGTAGAATAAAATTTCTTGACTGTTTTTTGTTTTGTTTTGTTTTGTTTTTTGCTTTAATTTATATGCCGCCCTTCTCCGGAGACTCAGGGCGGCTTACAATGCATTAAGCAATAGCCTTCATACTTTTGTATATTTATACAAAGTCAGCTTATTGCCTCCACAATCTGGGTCCTCATTTCACCTACCTTTGAAAGGATGGAAGGCTGAGTCAAACTTGAGCTGGTGAGATTTGAACTTGCAGTAATTGCAAGCAGCAGATGTTAATAACAGTGCTTTAGTCCACTGTACTACAGGCTCTTTTACAGTTTTACAGAGTTTGGGAAGAAAAAAGGGGTAATTGGCATTTTACAATAAATTTGCAATTTCTTTCAGTACACTTGGTAATGGAAGGCAACTTTAAACAGAGATTTTTAATAAAATGAGAGGAATTAAGGCTTTCTGAAGGCAGCATCACTTTCTGAAGCTTTAGGGACTCACGTGTAGGAAACATTCACCTGAGAAGCTGATTCCAAAAAGGAGACAGCAAAGGCAGCAGAGTTTTGGCTGCAGTGACTGGACACAAAAGGGGAAAGATCCATGCAGAGAACTGGGAGGGAAGGCAGCTGAGCGAATGAACATTTACTGGAGTGGACTGGAATGGATTCCTGAGGTATGGCAATCAGCCCCAGAACCACTTGGTTCTAGGACTGCTTGCTGCCACACAGGGCAAGGTGCAGGATGGCCAGAGAGCATATTTCAGGGAGAAATAGGGATGTGGGGGGAATTGGAGACAGTGCCTTAATTTACTGAGTCTTGGGGGTTGGAGGGACCAACCAAAATGGCATAAATTGGAATGGATACTCAATGATTCATAGTTAATGACCACAACAGGGAGTGCTTGGATTGCTGTCGTGTAATACTGCATAGTGTAATACTTCCTCCAACTCTTAGTGTTCGTATGATATGCTCTACTGCTATACAATGTCTTCACAGACTTGGGAGATGACTAAATGGTCTGTAACTAATCAATTGTGCAAAGACTATGTCACTTGTACATATTTAACAGACCTTTGTTCGATGTGCCATGCCCAAGATGACAGTGATATATAGTGGTTCTGCAGTACGGTTTTAAGTAATATTGTCAAATTTCATTTTCTTGTTTCAAAGAAGTTATCCTACCCTGAGTAGAGTAGTAGGGATTCTTTTGCAATGTTCCTTACAACCGTGAAGTTTGGTTAGTGACAGTAGCCAACTGATCTTGAATAACAGAATCAAGAAAGAGCTCAGCCTGAGGCATTCTGGAGAACCAATATCCACCATTAGATGTTAAATAAATCAGTGGTCAGAGTTGAGTATTAGATAGTTTCATATATGACAAAAGAGATCTAATTGTTTTGTTTGTTTGTTTGTTTTGTTGGTGGATAGCATTGAACTTTTGAATATGTTATAGGCATTTCCACAAAATTGCTGCTGTGGAAGGCTTGCCCTTTCATTAAATATATGCCCTAGAAAATATTTACTTCACAAAGAGTAGACTAGTTGAGCAAAAAGCAAAGGGATGTATATAAAAATCATAGGTAGAATAGGAGTTCCAAAACAAGAATACTCTTTGAAACCCTTTTCGGCCCTATCACTTGTTTCACAGAAGGCAAACAGATAAAGCCCACAGAAATAATGTGATGAAAGTAAATGAAAGCTCCCCGTGGATGGTTGTCAAGATGGCAACAGCAGTGTTGCACCATCAGCTCCATCCCATTTGGACATGCACGTGATATTGCACAACACACCTACAGAAAGGGCAGGGCTTGTGGCATGATGCAGCTTTTGTGTTATAAACAGCAAAGTATTAAACAGCAAGCCTAGAGAAACATATGCACCGAGGCAAATATCACAGGTCTGCCAGAAATACAACTGCACAGATTCTCAAGAGCTGGCAAAAGTCAGATAAGCTACCACTTCTCTAAGTAACAGAATATTCTGAATCAATAGTCCTGCTCTCTATGTTCCTGTGGAAAAAAAAAATCTGCACAGCTTTAGCTTTTGATAAGCATTGCATTGACATTTCTCTAAGGCAAGAACACGCAAAGTTTCCCACTTTGAATGTTCTCTACAGCAGCACTTGAGGACAAAGAAGAGAATTGGGCTGGAATAAATCAAATTCAGACTTATATAGGTATATTAATTTGACTATTTTAAATGACTGTAATGTTTCTGGCACATTAAAAATTACAGTTCAGTAGTAATTTTTGGAAGGGCTCAAGGGGCTCTATCACTGTACCTGTGACTTTTGAGATTTGCACATGGCTTCCGACAGCTCATTTGTGCTTTAGAAAACTCACAAAACATCCTAAAATTGAAGAAATATATCTCTCTAGCGGTAGTATTGAGGTAGCTACTTTTCATAGAAAATTTCCTTGCAATGATGTTATGCACAATGTGATTGAAATAGCGTTTTCAGTCTGCAATTTAAATTTAAATATATATCTCTGAGAACAAAATAACAGTAGGGGATGGAAAGAAAGCAGAAAGGGGTTGTCTAAATTAAACCATTAAAGAATTCATTGAGGTAAAGATTTGACTACATAATCTTAAGAAAACAGGTGCTTCAGATTGGTATGATTTCACTGAATGTATTATACCACAATATATCTGAATTGTAAAAAAAAATGGACTTTTTGAAAATATCTCCACTTTCATGAGTTTTTTTTTCTTTTTCATTCAGAGTTTTGTACCTCTAAAGCAAAGGCTTATGAATCTTGAGAGACTGTTTTGTGATTTGCCCAGGTGCCTACAATAACTAATATCCAGCTTCTGCCCCGCTTACACTGTTGCTACAGTTGCCCTTTTAAAAAACATAGCAGCTTATTGGGCCTTTCAAAAGAAAACAGTGGCAAATTGCTTCTGTGCTGCTGCCAAGAGGTGTGTATGAAGTCATCAAGGGTTGAGCTTGACTCAAAGATTTTATTATTGTTTGGGCTACTGTTAAGCCCTGAGAAAGTTAGAAGCTATTTCTTCAGATATCTATTGTTCGTTGAGTCAGCTGCAAAAACAGCTGGTCCCATGTGAGCAGGTGTTTGGACCAATGTTTCTGACTGATCATAGAGTTGTCTCAAGGAGGATGCCAGAACAGCTGCTAATGGACTTAAGGGTTGAGATACAACAGTTGCAGTGACATCATAAAGCAGCAGAATGAGCAAGTAAGTGAAGGGTGGGGAATTATGCAAGTGGATTGAGTTTCTGTTCCTGCACTCTGATCTCCCAGTTGGTACAGCACTCATCCTTCAGGACCGCTGGTAGGGCCAAAGTGAGTTGGTATACTTTTTTCTCCATTACAAATTTTAAAGGGGAAGAAGTCCCAGGTAGGATGAAAATTAGGCATTAAAGTGTGGTGAGGTTGATAGTGAAAACTCAGTTGAACTTTCCCAATGACAAACAGGCAGTGGTAAAAACCCTCGACAGTAAGCTCTCGAAAAACATGTATGACATATTCTACAACTCAGCTAATGAAACGGGATTGCTATGTCAAGAGCCATGTTTGAAAAGAAGCCAAACATTGCTTCCCACCTCATTTTGGTTATTGGATTGCTACCATCTCCCTTGCAATTCTTTCCCTGGCCCAGAGTTATTACTTGGTTGCCTTGATCTGCATGCCTCCCCCCAACCCACTGGAATTATAACTACATGATAGTAGGCCATGTTCCCTACTAGTTCTGATCCCTTTACTTATATATTGCACTTACTTGCATCTGATGAACTCTCTGGAGTGTCTTAGGGGTCTCAAGCAATGCAGTGGCTCTGAGAAGAATGGAGAGGACCAGTGGTGGTTTGAGCACTGGAAAAGCAAGTGAATACTGTAGTCTCTTCTAAAAAGGCAGTAGTATATATAGCAGAAGTTGGGATAGCCTTCAGTTCTCACCTGTTGCCTGAAGGATGCAGGGCTTGATGTTACAAAGAGTTGGGCTTGTGGAAGGATTAAGCGCTCACCCCCACCCACCCCAATGTTAGCTTTATCTTTTCATGCATGTCTTCCATAGGGAAACAGGTAGATTAGCCAGCTCTTTCATCCCTGTGTTGAAATTATGTTGATGTATTGTTGGGTACAAAATATTGTTCGGGTGATTGTGGGCTATGGCTGTGAGCTTGAACCCTCTCAAATAAACCTTTATTTTCCCAATCCTTGTGTTGCTAGTTGCAATGTGCTATAAAAGTTACATGCCACAGAATTCTGATTGATCCTGTCTCATGTTATCTGTTATTTGCAGATATTTTTCTCTTAATAGTCTGGTCTTTTTCTTACCCCAAGTATAACTCTGTATTTTTCCCCTGTTTACTCCTCCTCCTGCTGGAAAGAGGACAGAAATCAGTGAAAGAGGGAGGGAGGGAGGGAGGGAGGGAATGGTTGGTGTACAATCAGGGTAAAAAGCAAATGAGAATAAATTACATTTATAAATGGGGTGCCTTATTTTATAGGCAATTAATTTTAATCAGTAGTGTAGAGGAATAGATGAGAATTAATATTTATGTTTCTGTAGTTATTATTATAGTTTGTAAGCAAAGTATTATGTAACCATTAGTGGTTCGTTTTAATTGCAGAATTGTTTATGGCTGTCCCAATGTCCTGTAATAGTCTCACATATCGATAGGATTTATGTGCTTAGGGAAATACAGCAAAGTCAAGTATATACAGACAGCCAGTTTGGTGTAGTGGTTAAGGCATCAGGCTGGGAATCAGGAGACATATACTACTGGATGGTAGCAGGATTTGAGTTTATCTGGAATGGGAAATTCTAGATGTTAAATGCTTCATAGGGACTTTTACTTTTCTTTTTTTGTCTTTGCCTTTATGATCTACTCTTCTGATTTAAAAATTTATTATTAAAAAATTACAGTTATAGTAATACAATACAAGAAATAAAATAGAAAGAAGAATGGAAAAAGAAAAATAGAAAAGGCAAAAAAAAATATAGCAAAGAAAAAGGAAATATGTGAAAAAATGACTTCCCCTTAAATCACAATTATAAACAATTTTAGTAATTTATCATCTTCTCTTAAAATCTAGTAAATGATCTCTTCATCCCATATCTCATTTCTTATCTATAAATAGATCCTTAAGTCCTGCTCATTCAGACCTAATTGGCAAAAGTCTATTAAGGATTGATTACCAGTTATAAATACCTATTTTAATCTGGATCAAATAAACCAACTTTGTATTCTTTCCATTTACTTTTAATCTTTAGTCTCTTCAGTTATTATTTTGGAACCTTGATTTCATTTCATTTCTTTTGTTGCTTCTTATAAAACTCTTCAAAGTTTTAACAAATTTCTTTTGCAAATTCAATATAGGAAAGTTATCCAAGTCATTCTTCTAGTTATTTGTATAATCCCTTAATAAGACAGCCGATTCAATTGTGTATCCAATATAGCATCTTTTTTTCATATCATTCTTGCAGCCTGTGATTTTAAAACCCATTTTCAGACCAGTCTCAATCTTACCCGGTAAAACTTGTTCCTCTCTCATAATTTCTTTTAAATAGGGTTTGTCCATAAAGGAAGACACTCTTAAAATTAATTTCTGAGTCCATTGTTCAAAAATATCCTTCAGTAGGTCCAATGTTAAAGAATTTTGTGTTATTCTCTTTTAATAAGTCAAATGTAAGTTGTACATTTTTAGTCATATTACCATTATAATACCACCTTCATAATAAATCAACAAAAGGATATTTTTTAAAATTTACATACATAAAACAATACTGCAGATAAATTTTCTCCATTGTGAGCCATATGTATATAACCTCTATTCCACTGAACCTTCATTAAGAAGTTCTTTCCCAATAACCGGTATCCTAAAGCTGGGTTTGCTTTGCATATTTCATTTTGGAAACTACATTTTCCAGCATAACATGCATAAACCCAGCTTGTGATTTATGCAGCAAACTATGATGAAACAATTGATGGCTTTAAATTTTCTTTTACTGTCTGATACTATCGAATATTGTCTTCCCCAGGCTGTAGCAATTCCTCCAAATCTCAAACTATGACCTTATATTTTCCTTGCTGCCTTTCCTTTGTCTGAACATGGAAACTCTTTGAAGAACAACTTGGGCTATGCCACTGAACAACAATCCCATTCCTAATACTTCCCTCCAGATATATGTCAAACACTATTGCAAGAAGAAACACTGACCAAAGTTGATATTAGCCAAGTTTCACATTGTTTTTCTTCTATGACTGCTGGGCTTATAATTTATCTGGTTAAGCATGTTATTGGACTGCCATCTTCAAGGTACCACAAGTGCATTTGTTGCTTTGCTGGTAATATATTGTGAACAGCTGGAACAGCTGCTTTCTCTATCTCAGTCAGACATAATTACTTTCGGCCAGTCACTGTTTTTCAATCTGATTTCACAGGATGTTCTCAGGGCAGCTTCTGAGGATAAAGAGGAAACATTTTATGGTGTTCTGAGTTCTTGAGGGATTTTTTTTTTAAAAAAAAGAACTTAAAATAGTAATAAAAACAGTAACCAATCTCAATAGATATTTATTGTAAAGAAAAATCTTTTGGTGAAGGTCATATTGAATCAGAAATTGTGGAAATGGGGTGCCTGGGAGTGTATTTTCATTATTGAAAAATGAACCAAAAATGATCAACGGAAAGCAATTAAACATCTCTTCCCACAATTTTCTACTCAGATCATCATCTTCTTGAAGACACTATCTGTTTTTGGTTTTTTTGGGTGTGTGTGTGTGTAGAATTGCTTTTTTATTTATTCATTTATTTGTCAAACACGTACAAGATAGCAGGTATAGGTATAAACATAAACATAAACAAAGGAAGTAGGTACAGATAAATGAGGATTTAAAGTAATTTTCATGAACCTGGCAATGCTAAATTAACCTTTGAAATATTCTTATTATCTATGTTATTGTTGATTCAACTACTGTTATCTCAAGCTCATTTACAAGATTCATCCATTCTTTTTCTAAAAAAAAATCTGTTAAGAGAGAATTAAGTGCGTTTATTTATTTTAATGTAACAAGCTTGTTTAAAATATATATTTTGCTTTTTTGGCAGTTCTCCCGCAATTTAATAGCTTTTTGTACAGCTGGTTTTTCCCCTGGTTCAAGAGCTTTTTTCCCCCCTATGTCTTCCTGCATTAACACTTTTCTTTGAATGTCTGAACATTTCAAGACAGTAACCAAGCAAATCATGTTTTTCCTGCAATATATGTATTGGAGAGGCTTAAATGGAAAAGTTCTTTATCCAACTGCACTGTTAGATTCATCTCTTTTAATATTTTGAAAGTTTCTCGACATTTTCCAGTAGCTCATTTTCTGGAACATACTAAGAACAATATAAATTATCTTCCAAATTCCGTGTTTACTTCTAAAATATTTTTTATATTAACTTGCAGTTAAGTATAAGTATGATTGTTCAATGTGTTTTTGAAGTAGCATATGATTATAAATTCCTATAAAATTCCCAAACATTAGTTTCATAAAGAATAAAATGAGGTTTTTGGACTTGGCTGCTTGTATGAGACCTCTCAAAAATATTAAAGCTTTCCATATTAAAGTTTCCTGAATTAATTATCACAGAGAGCAGTGTTATTGGTTTATTGCCAGTACACCTGCTCAAAATAATGGTGGCAGGTTACAAGTGAATAATGAATATAAATTTATTTTGCATATTCATATGAAAACAGCTGAGAGAAAAATGTAAGGTGAGCAAATGTTGGTCAGAAAATTGAAAGAAATTTTTGGCTATTCTGGAATGCCATATGGTGAATATATGGTTTTGATGCTTCCATTATCTCAGTAAATACAAACATTAAAATATGCCACAACTAATATAGAAAACTAATATGTAATTGTTACATATTCCAATTATTTTCAATGTTCGTACTTATTTATTTTTAATAACAACAGCTCCTTAATAAAGAATTTTTTAAAATTAGAAAAGTTACCTAGCTGTTTAAGAATTCTTGCTTCATCTTAGATCAGAACTAAAATGTCAAGATCAAATTATATACATTTACTTAAGATCAAGCCCCTAAAACAAAATGTGGTCCACTTCCGAATGTATATAATCAGACAATTACAATAGGAACTTTCCCCCATCTCTTTCAACCCATTAATGTTTAATTCACATTATATCTATGTATAATAAAATTATCTGCTACAATGTCCTACTTGTCAATGACCATTTCAGCTTCAACCACAACAATACATGAGCACACACTAGATACAAACTTAAGGTTTGTAGAAAATACGACTTCAGCAACAGAGTGGTCAATGCCTGGAATG